GCCAGCCCGCCCCGCCAATGGCCCGCAAAAAACGGGCCGGGCCGGGCTGGCCCGCCAATGAAAAACGGGCTGAAAATGCTGGCCCGCCTCGCCTAAGGATGGGTTGGCGGGCCAGCCCGCATACCCAAAAAATAATTTGCAAAAAAAATGATAAAAAATGTGTAGAAAATACACAAACAACTGAACCACCGATGAAATCCCAGACATTGCAACAGAATCCAAAGCCAACATAAAAATATCCTAAGATAAAAAAATATTTAAAAAAATCGATATGTAACTCAAAGCAAAACCTAGAAAACATAAAAAACAAAGGAAAGCAAACCATAAATCTGAAAAATCAAAAGAAAAAATAGATCAGAGGTATAGCCAAGCACATCAACACCCACCATACGCTACAGAGACACTAGATCTACGCAACTAACCCCAGAATGAAAATTTTTGAAGAGCACCCACGACACAAAACCGAAAACCAAACAGACCCACGAAAAAGCTTGTTTACTTGTTGGGCCAATCCCTTTACCTGTTGGGCCAGATTTTTTTTTATTTTTATATAAAGCCTATTATTTATACTAAAGACCAATCACTAAATCACCTATGCGGGTTGGCGGGCTGTGACAGGTCAGCCAGCTATTTGGCCCGCCGGGTTGGCGGGTTTGGCGGGGCGGGCTTAGCGGGTTGGCGGGCTGAAATGATAGGCCTGGCTCGCCAAAAATTGGCGGGCCAGCGGGCCGGCCCGCGGGCCACGGCCCCTTTTGCCATCCCTACTCGCTATAAAGGACCAGACACCTCTACTCTACTCTAGATCTCAAGGTTTTTGGTAGTTTAATTATTGGGTAGTTTAATTATTGGGTCAGAGTCAAGCATTGTTTCATTGGTCTTTCATCTAATAGGAAAGAAAATCGTAGCATTTAATGCTTGTATTCCGACCGTGCAAATTACTTCATGAGACTTGTTGCTTGTGTGTTTAGGTACAGATGACAAAACTGATGTGAATGTATCAATGAAATCAAGATTCATTCAAAAAGTAAAATAATTATGTAGAACTTATAAGACATTTTTTCTACACGTTTTATAAACTGAAATTTTGTTCTCATATTGACACGTTGAATGAACAATTGAACACTAGTATCGTGGAATGTTTCCACGATTATTTGTAACCATTATGAAGCATTCTCTACAAGCGAATAGTATTAAAATAATTATTAGATGAAACATACAGTTCAATTCAGTGACCTGGTTTATCCGGGTCAATAATCAGAGGACCTACTTCAACATGCAACATAGAAACAGTGCTTCGTTCATCCGAATTTCAGATGCAAAAACCATGGAGCCAGGAACCAAACGAAATTATATTACCCTTGTTGGTCTCAACCCGAAGTGCAGCGTGTTTCAGAAACAGGTTGGCTAAATCTGTAGCATCAAACAAATATATCTATAGGGTGTTCTTGATCATCCACAAGCAACACATGAGACCCTTCTTCTATTATCTTTGCACCAGCCTCATTCGCTCTACTAAGATGTTCACAAGGGCTTACCACAAATCCAACATGAGTCATTTCCCCTGCATCAAGCATCACACTCTGGAAACCTACCAACTGTTTCACAGGACTTCCACTACTCTGTTTTCCAGGTCTCATAAATAGCAATACGGGATGTTTCCCCACCCTGCTTCCATGATTTTGAACTTTCACGCTCACTGAGACCGACATGCTTTGGCAGGTTTCTTCACCCAACTCCGAAATTAGTTTGTACCTTATGGTTTCTGAATTTTCAACCATCAAATAAGTGGATGATTGGTTCAAGTGAAGCTTGTTGTGTGTAACAGAAACGAACTCGTAGGAATACTTTGAGTAGCTTAGGCCATAGCCAAATTCATACACCTTTGGACCCTTGTAAAATCGGTAAGTCCTCCCGGGATAGCCAGTTGAAGGATCTGCTCGCATCCTCATGTCTGTCATTGGTACTTTGATGTAATCTTTTGGGTACCAAGTAATTGGTAGTCTTCCTCCTACATTGTATTCATGCACACATCATTTCAGTTATAAGTGTTTATTGTGAAATTTATCAAGCAGGCCTTAATGCTTACAATATGAAGGACATATATGATATATTGATAAAACACAAAAGAAAATTCATTCACCTGGATTATGGTCACCAAAGATAATCTGTGCAAGTGCAATGCCTCCAAGTTCCCCTGGATAACCAGCCCAGAGGATGCCTCCAATTTTGTGGTTATACTTGGCTGAACTGATATCTACAGGCCCTCCACAAAGGAGCACCAGAATAACTGGTTTCTTAGAAGCTTCGGCAACGCTGTTGATGAGTTCCAGTTGCTTTCCTGGCAAGTCTAGGTGAATGCGATCACGTTCTTCCCTCTCTTCACTTTGATCCAATCCCATAACCAGCACCACATAATCAACTTTTTTGGCAACTTCCACTGCCTGCTCTATTTGAGCCGAAGAACACTTTGGTCCACCATCACAGCCAGGATGATAAACGGCGTTCTTGGCATAGTGCTGAAACCCTTGCAATATTGTGACGTAGTTACAAGGAGGGCCAGCATAGTTTCCAAGAAGAGTCAGCGGAGAAGCATTGGCATTGGGACCTATCACTGCTAAGGAAATGCTGGGGCTTGTTTTGGGAAGTGGGAGAAGTGCTGCAGTGTTTTTTAAGAGAACAATGCCATTTCTTGCAGCTTCAAGAGCCAGATATTGGTGATCTTTGGAACACACATGATTCGGGCCAATCATCCCAAATGGTAGCCTTGTTGGATTTCCATCAAACAGGCCTAGCCTCATTCTAATAGAAAACAGATTGTGAAGGGCACGGTCTATTTCAGACATGGCTAACTTTTTCTGCAACACTGCTGATTTAGCATGATCCGTCAAATAAGAACCACATTCCACATCCATCCCTGCAATTTTGTAAATTACAATAACAATACGTGTAACTACAATTGCCCTCTTCAAAAGTTCTCAGAAAAGACACATAATCCCACTTTCAACCAAAAATTATTCTCCCTCCTTACATGGAGTCTTGGAAACTGGAGTGTACAAGTGCTGTTCAAAATAGCACCAAATTAAGTGCAAACTTAAACACACTCGTGACTTCATTACTTGTACTCTTTTCTTAAACACCGGTTATCGAACCATATTCGGTGAGAGAAAAGGCACACTATTCGTCGTTCACAAGGCCACAGCTTTAGCTCGTTAAAATTTTAAGGAATCCAGCTTCACCCACCAAATGTGAGCCATTATAACAATGAAATTGCCTACATTTCATCAGTTCATCTACTGAAACTTGGATATGGAATTACAGTTTGTTCAAGTTTTCTATAAGGATGGTTGTACTTCAGGGTTTCTTTGGTATATTCACGAGAAAATGATTGATTTCATGAAATCTATAGAAGGCATACTTTATTCTTTTATATCGTTTCTAATATATTTAGAAAAGATTGATATTATTTATCCCCAAAACAATTAGATTTTAAAAGATAAATAATACTGCCTCCTTCTCATAACTATGATATTTTAATGAATAGAAGAAGAAAAAAAAACTATAATATTTTAGCCTTCTATTTTTATCCTAAAACAATCGATGTTTTAGTAATTCAAAATTTAATTATTTTTCTTGATTATGCTTTCTTTAATATCTCATTATCAGGAGTGTAGACATTAAGGATCAAGATGTTAAATGGGGACATTTTAATACAGATGTATTAATATTTTACATTTATTAAATATTATTTAATTTATGCATTAACTTTACACATCATCAATAGTTATGAGAAAGAGGTAGTATTAATTCTCACTCTTTAGAGTGAGATGATAAAATTACTCCTTTTTTATTTTAAATCTACAACTTTACTAATTTTCATATTTTTTTTAAAAAATTCTCAAAGTAATTACTTGCATTGTTTACTCTTTTAAGTTAAAATCTCCTATTTCTCACCAAGTTTAAGCTACTAATACCTTTAGATTAATTATTTTTAATATATTTATATATTATATTATGAATATGTTATTTTGAATGACTTAATATTTTAGTATCTTTTTGCTTAAAAGTGAAACATATCATTATCAGTTTTCTTTATTTAAATTCTTTTAATTTAAATAAATAAATATATATATATATACATATAATTATATTGATTTGCAATTTAAATATTATATCTTTTATATTTGTAAGAGTTTAAAAGTGTTATTATATTTTATTATATTAACCTCCTCCTTCAATTGAGAGGAGTAAAATCTACTAAAAAACTATTTGTTTTTATGAATAATAATTAGTGGCTTAATTAGTGGATGTCAATATTCATTATCAATCATTACCATTTATATGTCCGTTATGTATTATTTCCTTTATTGTGTAATTGTTCAGTTATCACATGTACTTATAAATAGGTTACTCCTCTCCCAAAGAGAATACACCAGTCAGAATCTTTTCTCTATCTCATACTGTCTTATTTATTCTCTCTACTATAATCGATTATTTCTAACTATAATCGATTATTTCAGCTTTGTTTTTCAAGAGGTTGAGAATGTTAAGTCAGACGAAGATGAAAGAAATACCCAGCAAGGTTTTGAATGAAACAAATATAATACATATTGTTATTAGTAACAAGTGTGTTAGTATTTCAGATACAGGTACAGGTAAACTGTTGAATAAGAATATACATCCATACCAGAATCAAGGAGATGTGAGGAAAGCATTGGATAAAGGCTGAGCAAAAAAAGGGAATACATTAGATGAAGACTCAGACGATACAAGACCATGGACGATGGGAAAATCCTAGCAAGAGCACCCTAGATGGAGTCAAGTACTTGCAACAGTCAAACTAGATGGAGACTCGAATACACAAATGGTGGTCAAGAAATCTGTATTGCGTCTGAAGACACAACGAGACGAACTATCTAGCACCCATACTTCTGGAAGAACACATGAAGACATCAAAATAGAAGAAAGAAGATAAGAAAAATGAAAGAGCGCTTATCCACAAATTGAAACAGCGTGTGTCAGAACAAGTACACCTACCAGCTAGGAAAAGACAACACCTCTGCAGCAACAGTACCAAGAAACTACAAAAGATCTCGAGAAGTGAAAATTCAACAAGTGAACATTTAATGCAAGATCAAAGGCATTAAATGCAACAATCCACAAAGATTGTGCAAACTATATAAAAGAATCAGATGATGGTTAGTCAAGTATCAAAACGAAGTCTGCTCACGGACGTAAGAGAACTATCATCAGAATGAGACACTAAAGTATCAAATGAAGCCTATAAGGAAGAGTCAAGGCGAGACACGAACCAGAGAAGACGAGACAGATGAAGCAAGAGACATAAGAAACCAAGCGTCAAAGAGATGGATAGTTGGAACACGAATATGCGCCAAACGATCATAAAATACTCAGACAAAGACATGTCTAGGACAACATAGACTAAGAGACACTCTAGATGGACAGGACGGGAAAGAATACTTGTAAAGCCCAGAAGGGCTTGTCAAAGAATACTCACTACGAGCCTGAAGAGGTTGATTAAAGAATACTAGCACTGGTGAGTAAATTTGGCGGGCCAGGAGGTGGTCGAGAATACTCACTGCTAACCAAAGGTGACTGATAAAAGAATACTAGCGCTGGTGAGTGAAGCTGGCGGGCTAGGAATGGTCGAGAATACTTGGGGAACTAGAAGTGGTTTAAGAATACTAGCGCTGGTGAGTGAAGCTGGCAGGCCAGGAGTGGTCGAGAATACTTGGGGACCCAGAAGTGGTTTAAGAATACTAGAGCTGGTGAGTGAAGCTAGCCAACCAGGAGTGATTGAGAATACTTGTGACCAGGAGTGGCCGTGACCGGGATGGTCTAGAATACTTAAGGCTTGGAGAGGTCGAGAATACTTGGATCAGAAGTTGTTCTGACATAGGTGGTCCATAGTACTCAATGCTAGCCTAAAGAGGCAGATAAGAAGATACTAGCATTGATGAGTGAAGTCAACGGGCCAGAAGTGGTAAATAATACTTGTACTTAATTGCATATTTAGTGGAACCCTTCAGTTGAAGGAGACTGGACGTAGCTCGGTCTGATTGAACCAGTATAAAAATGATTGCATTGTTTTTATTTATATTTCATACGCAAACTTTTCTTAATTGATAAATCATTTTCAAAACTTCGTCTAGTGTCTATTCTTCATTAAAATCATTCTTTTAGATGAAGACACTAATTTTTTTTTAACAAATATTTTACAATGAAAAGTTTAGTCTACTTCTTATCCTTATATGAAACTATCTTGAAAAAGGAAAATGCAAGAGCTTTAATTAGCATTATTATCTAAACCATTTTCCTCAGCATACGATAAATCTTTCAGATGCAGTGCCCTTGTGTTAAGCAAATTCTGCATAAGCGTCTGGTATTTAAAAGTGCATTGGACGAAGAACATTACTCTTGCAAATTTTTTTATAAAATTCCTTCGTACTAACACACACATATTCAACCCTCTTTTCTATTTGTTTCATGTCTAACTTCAAAGCTGATCCTCATATTGGCCACACATTGAGATAACCATTCTTTTTTTATTTTGTATATATTATATTAGCATAGGTTTCATATATTTTGGTCTTGTATTTTCGACCACATAGAGTAGCATTTTTGGGTCACAGGCTTATTAGGCCTAGTTTTGGGATTTATGGGCCTTTGGGCTTTTGGTACCCAATATTGGGCTACTGGACGTAGCTCGGTCTGATTGAACCAGTATAAAAATGATTGCATTGTTTTTATTTATATTTCATACGCAAACTTTTCTTAATTGATAAATCATTTTCAAAACTTCGTCTAGTGTCTATTCTTCATTAAAATCATTCTTTTAGATGAAGACACTAATTTTTTTTTAACAAATATTTTACAATGAAAAGTTTAGTCTACTTCTTATCCTTATATGAAACTATCTTGAAAAAGGAAAATGCAAGAGCTTTAATTAGCATTATTATCTAAACCATTTTCCTCAGCATACGATAAATCTTTCAGATGCAGTGCCCTTGTGTTAAGCAAATTCTGCATAAGCGTCTGGTATTTAAAAGTGCATTGGACGAAGAACATTACTCTTGCAAATTTTTTTATAAAATTCCTTCGTACTAACACACACATATTCAACCCTCTTTTCTATTTGTTTCATGTCTAACTTCAAAGCTGATCCTCATATTGGCCACACATTGAGATAACCATTCTTTTTTTATTTTGTATATATTATATTAGCATAGGTTTCATATATTTTGGTCTTGTATTTTCGACCACATAGAGTAGCATTTTTGGGTCACAGGCTTATTAGGCCTAGTTTTGGGATTTATGGGCCTTTGGGCTTTTGGTACCCAATATTGGGCTCATTTTGTTTCTTTTATTATTTCTTAATATTTGTGATAGGTTGGCCATTGTATTCAGGCCCTTAGAATAGGAATATTGAAGGAATACTAAAATAGGCCAAGAAGCTAAAATCTTGGTTTCATTTAGTAGTCATTTAAGATGCATTTGGATCACATGTTTCTTGCCAAGCATAGCTGAACATGTGCACCTCCAAATACACTTTAAATGTCTCCTAAATGACATTTAGATGCATGGCAGCCCTAGTTTGACGGAATTGCACATGGTGGCCATGGATTTGAATTCAAATTTTCATTTGAAATTTGAATTCTTGGCGCCAAATGTGATTTGTGAAGTTGGTGACACCTAGCTTGCTTCCGGTTCTATAAATACATGTTCCTTCACTCTTTGTAAACACTTTTGAACACTTTGAGAAATCTGAATTCTATCTTCAGCCATTTCTCTCTCAAAAGTCCCTTGGAACCTTGCTTAGCCTTAGGAATTCCTAGAACTTCTAGGTTAATCCGTGAGCAATCCTTTGCTCACCTAGGATAGAGTGCTTCCTTCCTT